AATAGTTTTTTTATTGAATTATATTTAAAATAAAATAACAATGAGTTGAAAACTTTAACTAACGATAGAATTTAGGACAGTCCAAAGTGATTAATGAAACAGCCGGGCCATTAATGCCCGGGGAGCAGACGGGGACGGGGAAGCAGATGAGCGGCTGGCAATTCTCTCCACAACACAACGATCTCCACCCATTGTGGTCAAGTGATGGGATCGGACCATTAAGAGAGTCATAGTTACTCCCGGCTGTCGTTAGTGACCGAACACTACAACTGAAATTCTCTACAAGATAATTTGTAACAAAAAAAAAACCGACTTCAAACCGGAAACTAAAAAATTTTGTTAATACCATTACATTTGAGGATTGCCCTCGATTTCTCTGGGATGCCCTTCGGATATCTTCCTTCCAACAATAAAAGAATCATCAAAATCGGTTTATAAACGACGAAGTTATCAGCAAACACATAAAAAAATATATAACCTCCTTCTATTTTAAATTCGGTTAAAATTTTTAAGAAAGGCATTCAAAGTTATAGTAGAAAGTACCAAATTTATAATGGGTATTTATTATAGAAACAAAGCTTCTTCCATACAGAGAGAGCGTTGCTTGATTGTGTAGTCGTTTGTATACTTACACTGAATGTGACAAGTTTAACACCGATCATGTTGTAAAAACTGGACGCTTACACAAACTATAAAAAACTCATCTCTGTATACTGTCAAGCGTAGAGATTTTGTAAATAGCTTGCATTATAACAGCAAAGGTAAGTACATTCCTTTAACTAAAATATGTTACATTACTTTGTGAACACATCAATTAGATTCATCATTCACAGTTAAACGTTGACTATTCATATTTGGTAAGCCACGGAGGCACGCCACTCCAGTTGAGCGACACTAATGAAGAGTGTGTACAATATTATTGTACTATATTTTGTTGGGCCTATAGATGTTAATGCAATGTTGAATGATCTACGTTCAAAGAATTATGATGACATTCGGCCCTTATGCGGCTGATATCAACTTCTCAATGGAACGGAATCTGTCACATGCATCAGTATTAAATGAGTTTGGCCAAGGTTACGTGTTTGCCAAGTGTCACATTTTTACCGGTTTATTTAAAATAACACCTGTATACATGTCGCCACTACTCAAAATCTTCCTATACTCTACTTGGCTCTTGTGGGTTATATTTTTTTTTATGTGAGAAGGTGGCAGACTGGCGGTTCACCTGATGTTAAGTGGTGGTGGGTCACCCCCCATTGACCTTTTCCCACCCGTAGGTTGTAGATGCTTGCCTTATTTTAATTAAGTGGGCCCCGCCTAGCTCACTCACCAGACGAAACACATAAGTACTTCCAATTCACGTTGCTCTTCCGTTAGGTCATAGTACTTCCCTGCCCATTCGTGCAACAACGAAGACTTACTACAGAGCTCTACGAGGCTAAATTGTCGGTTAGATCCAAGAAAAGAGTTAAAACAATTTCGAAATACGAGCGACATCGAACGATGTGCCACGTGAGAACATATCTCTTACGTAGTCACATTAAAAATTGTCAAAACTTATTAAAACATACACCAACCTCTATTTTATCGCGTCCATCTGGGAACCGCGTTGCTTTGTTGTCTGCTTGACGGTTTGTCCGCTCGCAAGGCTCGCGAACAAAGGATTGCCGAGATAGAATTGCGCTGAGCCACTTTTTCATATTACAGATTCACTCAATGAAGGGAAAAGTTATATAATAACTTAGTGTGGAGAGATTATTAAATGAAAAATATTACTTAGTATGAGGATCAGGATGTGTGGAAACGACTCTTGCTCTGCACTTGCGATACGTTTGTATAATTGCAGCACAAAAAAAATAACAAAAAGAACAAGACCGCAGAGTTTCTTGCCGGTTCTTCTCTGTTTAGGTTATTTTAGTGAACCGGTGGTAGTTTTTTTGTTTACGTTCAATAAGAGCTTAAGTTAAGCCTATATTGCATAAAGATAATTTGACTTTCACTTTAATTAGTTATTAAGTTCAAAAGTTATTTACTTTTGTTTCTCTTAAATTAGCTTTTCAGGAATGAGATCATTAAAGATAAACGCAAGATGTCACTCGAAATGCAAGAAAGGAACCTAAATTTCAATAATTTTTGACATTTTGTTTCTGTTCTACCTAGGGTTAGCTTGTAATATATAGCATATAGCAATATAGTATTAAGCTCGCCTTTGTACAATTTTCTGTGCAATAAAGATTAAATAAATAAAATAAATAAATTGGTAAAGAAAAGGCAGGCCTGAGTGGTTTGGAAGGGTGGAAGGAATGAAGAAAGACTTACAATTAACATTGCGATAGTTTGCAATGACAACCGTAAAGTCTTAGCGGAGCCAATTTAAATCATATTGGCAAAATCCTGCATAAGGCGTGAAGGCGTAGGGGGTTACCCTAATATTTATTATTAACTATGGTCGCGCCTCGCAACAGCTTTGGCCGTTGCACGAATGAGCAGGTGTACCTGAGTAAATACAACGACCTCACAGAACGACCGGCGTTCATTGGAAATGTTATATTTCTGCGTTTCATCTGGCGAGTGAGAGCATCCTGCGGTCCACTTCAATAAACGGTGGCAACGCATCTACAACCCTACGGGTGTTGCAAATGTCCATTGGCAGCGGTTATCACTTAACATTAGGTGAGCCGCCAGCATCCCTGCCACCTTATCACATAAAAAAAATAAAATGTACATTTTAACTTCGGTCTTATAATAAACTTTACTATTATTATGAGGAAGAACAAAAAAGATATGATCAGTGTTAGAGGAAATCCATAACCTCTGAAATATTCATTTCGCGTTATAAAGAGTATGACGCGAAATGAATATTTCATACTTTATCCTTTCTCCATTATACGCTACCAATACTCTATATCTTAAATTTTTTATAAGTATTGCATAATTTGCAAACACGAGATTGCATAATTTGCATTGAGAGCCATGATTCAAAAGGAAGAATTCATATTTTCTATGTCGCGGGAAACGCTGCTTGCATGAAGCATATAGATTGCGTACAATCTTCTGGGTCGTTGAATATTCTCATTAAAATTATTTATAGCAATTGTATGTGCCGTGAGATATTTAGAAAGCGGTAGAGTTTATTATTCTTTAAATGTTATAAGATTTAAGAAATAAGGTTAAATTATAATAATCATGTAATCGGCTAAAGTTACTTAAAAAACTGTGCAATGTGATGATGCTTCGAGTTGATTTTGCAGTACATGGAAAAAATGGAATTAAACACTTTTGCGAAAACATTAAATTAGTTTTGTTAACACTTGTTGCATGACTTACATAGTCCTTCATTTTTGTATGGAAGTTCTTAAACGTTGACACGTTACCCTCATTATCGTCATCATTTCACCCTGTCTGTGCCCAACTGCTGAACATAGGCCTTCCCCACAGGCCTATTTTCAGCAGTTGTATATCTGTATATAGCCTCGAAGGACGATCCTGAGCCACGAGCATCCATCGACTTCGCCCACACTTGCACAATTCGTCACTCCCATCTAGTGGGGGGTATCCTACACAGCGATGGTTAATACGAGGCTGCCTCTAGAGAGCCTTTCTACCCCATCGGTTCTTCGACCTATATGGCCCGCTTATTTCCGTTTCAGATACTATGCTGTTAGTTTTGAAATTATTAATTTCCACTGATCTGCTCAGAAAGTTAAAACCATTTTAAAATTAAAAATTATGACTAACCCTATCCCCAGGCAACACTTATCAACACGCGTTAAACGATAAGCTTTGCTAACTTTTCTAATATTTTCCAGCTTTAGATTACTCGTCCGAGTAAAATGGATAATCTTCTGGGTAAGAATTATTAGGCTTTTGCAGATTTACTGTTTATCTGTCTTTCTGTCTGAATGTTACACCTTCAGTCTATTCTACGCAGTCGTAGTCGGGGACAGCAGCTAGTTATCTATAAAAACGGCAAAAATTATCTCTGTTGTAAACCATGTTGTTTGACCCCTACTTATATATTTTTATTATGTTTTTTAGTATTTGTTGTTATAGTGGCAACAGATATACATCATCTGTGAAAATTTCAACTGTCAAACTATCACGGTTCATGAGATACAGCCTGGTGACAGACGGACAGACAGACAGACAGCGGAGTATTAGTGTCCCGTTTTAGCCTTTGGGTATCGAACCCTACAAAGTGGGCCCCGGCTACTCACGGCGGCTCACTCAACTGACGAAATTAGAAAGTTTAGTACCTCTTCACACCGGTCTACTGTAAGGCCGTGGTACTTCCCTGGACGTGCCTGCCCATTCGTGCAACAGCTGAAGCTGTTGGGTGGCACTACCACAGTGTTTTAATACAATTAATGACAAGAGTATTATAATTGCTTTGACTACCTCGCATGGCTTATGTCATGCGTTTATCGTCAGAAAAGGTTTATTTATTTCTTACAGATAGAACCGCTACCAAATATCTCACGTCCTTTTGTATAGACAATTGTTATAATATTTTTATTTAGACAATTGTTTTTAATCGTTACTTTCTCTTTACCAAATAAGCACCACTTTCCGATATGTATCGTTTCTTAAGTGTTGTTATCTAAAGTGCATTCGAATAGAGCCGATTGGTTTCTAACTAATTTAAAATTTCAGATGATCACTCCATTTTATACCATGATGAAAAATATTCAAATTGAGAGTGATAAGAAAAACAATATTTAGGAATTCAATGCAAAATTCTCACAAATTGATAAGTATTTATATCAACCTTGGTGAGGCTGACATAAATACTTGAATACTCAGGTGTGACATAAATACGTGGCGTCCTAAGGGGAGGCCTTTGTTCAACAGAGGAAGTCTTGCGTCTGATAATGATAATGATGACATAAATACTTAAACACACACCGTGTGTTCATGAGCTGATCTAGAGCTTTTACCGATTACATCACTCACCATCAAACGTTCTAGGCAGGGTATACTGTACTCTACGGGGTGGTATGGGACTTTCCCGTGACCTTGACACCCTCACCCCTTTCGGCCGCTTTCTAGCGACGCGTCGGGCCGCGATGCGACGGACACGTTTGCCCAACCCGCGTCTCGTCCTTTCCCACAGCCCCCACCGACGCATAGTGCTGCGCGCCGCAACCGCGGGCCAGTATTCGACGGCATTCGATCGTCGCGAGCATCTTCGCGCCGCGTTCCGTAACTGACGGTATTTATACTCCACTCAGTTCGAGGCGGGATTTTTCTCCCAATTCCGAGATTGTAATTCCCGGCTACATACAATTACCAAAACGACACCGGCAAAAATCCAGCTTCGAACTCTTTGAGTGCTTTCAGATTGTTATGTTTGTTACTGCTTTCCTTCTTATAACATCATTTTGTCATTTTATTCAATTTTACTTTTAGTTGTCTCCTCAAAGCGATATATAAAAAATGAAAACCACTGCATACAACCTCAATTTCTAATCCCATTTGATCAACTATTTAAACTACAACTCATTTGTCTAATTAAAGATTTTCACATCAAATGTTTGGGCAAACGTCTGAAACAATAGTTTGTCAAATATTCGAAACATTGTTCCAACGCAAAAATCCGCGCTTAATTGGGTGCGATTTTTGCGTAACACTGAAACACGGTATACGTGAGAAGGCATTGTGTATCAATGCACAGATGAGGAGACCCGGGGATTGTTTTTACTGATTTACGTTATGCATTAATTATACAATTTATAGGAAATTCATTCATTCAAAAAATTAACGTTAACCTTTAATAAAACGTTATAATTAAAGCTTTATTTCAGTTAACAAGCAGTTCATACAAAACTTCATTCTGAAAGAACTTTATTAATAGTGTTAAAGATTCTTGTGATAAGTGATAACTCAAAAGTGAACCAGACGTGGAGAAAAGTCTTTGGTAAGTCTTTGGTCATTTTAAGATTTTTTCATGTATCGCAACGGTGTCAACAATCGGTGCAACAATAGATTCTTTCATGAAAGTGTTTTAGGAAAAGCACATACAGAGTTTAGTACATCCATGGAAGAGACAAGGAATTATTATGTACCTAAAAAGAAGAAAAGTAGAAGTTAAAGACCTAAAAAGAAGATTTCTTTTATATATACATAATCACTACATTCTTAAAATATTTTTATCTTAAATTCTTAAGAGAAATATTGTTGCACTTTTCTTTGCTTACATATTTCTTTTGTTTCATTGATATTCAACAAACTTTTGAAATCCAGGTTCATTTCCATGCATAATATGTCTTCGTACCTTCAATGTTTTCGTACCATATTTTGCATGGGCCTGCTACCATGCTCTCCCTCTGTCAGTTCGCATTGTCCTGAACATTTTCATAAAAAATATGTGTCGGTAAATAATTTTCTTCAACATTATGTAGATAGATCTATATTTAAAACTGTAAATCGGGTTATAACATAAATAGATCATGAATTTATGGCATTTACTCTATAATTTTTTACTGTGTTACACACAATAAAAAATTATAGAGTAACTCTAGATCGTCTTAAAGCGGAGGATTGTCGGTTACGAGCTTAGGGCATTAAAGAGTGGCCTATCGTCCTTGACATGCTACATATAAAGTTCTAGCTGACATTCTCTAATACAGGAAGCATTATTCGTCCCAAGTTAACATGTACGTCGGTTGTTTAATTCCAAATTGAGATATGACCATAAGACTATAATGTAGGCACTAAGCGATAATTAAAAGGCTGACATTACCGTGAGCCGATTGCATAAAGTTCATTTGAAATACATAATTTGTTACTTTTATTTTTACGTATCGCTATACATTACGTTGTAATATATATATGAATCATTCTCATTTTAAATTACAAACTATTAGTAACATCATTCATAATGAAATGACATCTATGTATGTATCTATATCAGTAAATAATTTTACTTTATGGAAAGTGTGAATCCGGGAAATGACATTAGATTCAATCGTACAGTATTCAAAGAAAGTAATTTGTAACATTACATTCCTTATGTCAGAGATGCATGAACATTCACTAGCATTATTAGCGGGAAAAAAAAAACATAGAGCCGCGCGCGTAATGTTCGAACGAAAGAGTTCAACGCGCCGTCGCGTGTGCTCAGAGACTTTTACTCTCGCGTTCAAACGAATAAAAAACTAAGTAATCGTTCTAAATGACGCAAATGGTGATATTTCTCTATATGAAGGATTAGTGCTTAACGTGCCGGTACAGGAGTAGTAGACCTTGAATTTGTATCGCGTAATATATGATCACATAATATTTACGAATTAAATTATGAATTTAAAACGAATATGCAGTATATAAGAAAACTGTCTCGATAATATAATGTTTTACTGTTATGTCTTATATTATTATAAGTTTTACAAGAGTTCAAAGTATATACAGTATTAAAAATGTAGATTCATGACATTAGAATATATATATTTTGGAAGTTTTTAAGCTATGTAGGTTGTAGGTAGTAGTGGACAATGAAAATTTTTTTGACAAAAAATTTAAAGGGATGTGTGTCATTGCGAAAGACAATAGCTTGTGATTATAAACAACTGATAATTAGAAACGGCTTCCATAGCAAATGCCGTGTTTAACGTTTTACGTGTGTAAGGTCAGCGCAGATTTACCTACACTCTCATAGGCAAGAAAATGTTTGTAACAATTTTACTGGAGATTTGAAAATAATCTTATGGGTGGTAATTTTTCCACTAAACGTACGTAACACTACATACCCGTTTTGACACAATTTCATTTAAATTATAATTGTTGAAAATCACCAAGCCAGCAATTAGCCAGGCACTCTCAAATAATTATTTTTCTCTTTGTAAAAGGGAATGTTGATTTATTTCTTTACTATGCATTTTTTATTGAAAAGTAATTATTATTCAGGAAATAGGTAAACATTAAAGAACGTTCACTTTTGTTTTTTGTAAACTTATAATATTTCCGTAAATTTCATTATAAAAATAGATATCAAGGTGTAAGATAATAAATAATATTTTATTTAAAAATCATTGACGTAAAATATAGGGATAACGCAAAATATGAATGAAAAAATTAAATAAATATAACTAACATTAGTTCATATGTTGAAACGGTTGAGTTTAAAGAAACCATTTAATGAAATAGTTAACTTCTCTTTCATTTACTCTCTACTTAGGTGTCTTAGAACTCTTGGACTTTATGCTTCCATTATAATTGCAGGCATTATGCACGAAGTTTTCTGCTTACCAGTATACCAATAGTCAAGGCTAATTATTGCAAAGTTAGCCAAGAATCACGCGAAAGATAATTTTGACGGACATCACATTTCGATGCACGCTATAATACCAAAATCGGTAGCGCCGTGACTAATGACGTCACGCACTAAACTATAAATCAACGCGCGGGATATTGAATAGAATTCGATGCACACGTCTAATCGAAACAGTGAGTGTATTGCGAACGGAACACACTGAATTAGGTGTGGTGCAAGTGATGAGAAATTGATAGTATCCCTCAATTTTACTAAGCGCCTTGGCAATCTGTTAAACTTCTGTGTTTACAACTATTTCTTATAAATATAAGAATTATTCAACAAATCCCACAGATAGTGGCTACATGTTCAGATATAATATAAATTTGAAACTGCTGTGAATTAGTACAGGCAATGGTTTTTGCGTTTATCACAAAGATATCATATCTTGTTTTCTCTATCGATGTAGGTAGAGATAATAATGTACACTTTGAAAAAAATCAATTACAAATATGAAGGCAATTTCCATAAAATAACATAATGCGCCATATGTTAGTGGTTCATATCATTAGAGTTATTTTATTAAAATCACTGTAAAAATTCTCTATGATTTCATTAAAATAATATCATAAAAAATCTCTATGCCCACCGTGATCTTATCGCTTGTGCAGTATAATGAATGGACTGCAAAAATGTTGTGCAATAATTGTGTTTACTTAGCTCCATTATGCAGTAGCGGTGACCTTTGGGGGAATTGCCCGGATTGCCCTGCGGTTGGCAACATTCGGGAACCATAATGATCTTCAAACCATTGTGGTGCGATCAATTTATTATAACGCCGTTGAAAAGATGATGGATTGTATTGTACAGCAGCCGATAATTGATCTTTTTATTGCAATACAAATCATGTATTTGCTATTGCAATCAACCTCAAAACAACACTGATTTTGTGGTTATATATATATATATATATATATATATATATAATACGTTTACCTCCTATTTCAATTAATATTTAAATAATATGTACAGCTTTAAATTGCAGCGAAAACATTTGCGGTATTAGTGCAAGCCACTAGTAATTGAGATGGCTAATTAAGATCGCGTATCGATGTCACTGAAGCTTGCCTAGCTCAAATCTGAAGATTGCCTAGCTCAAATAGTCCATCATGGACACAAAACCTGCCAAGTTCGAGTCGGACTCACGCACGAAGGGTTCCGTACCATTATCTATAAAAACGGCAGAATATCATGTCTGTTTTATGGGCGCCCCACTCAAATATTTATTTTTATTCTGTTTTTTATTTGTTATTATATCTGTGAAAATTTCACCTGGCTATCGCAGTTCATGAGATACAGCCTGGAGACAGACAGACAGACGAACAGACAGACATTGGAGTCTTAGTAATAGGGTCCCGTTTTACCCTTTGGGTACGGAACCCTAAAAATAGTGTGTGCTTTAGACTGTTCATTTGTAGTTATTTATTTCAGTTAACGTTGAAAGTAACATCTGTACTTACAACACGGTTATAAACGATGTACGACATTTTATGAACAGATAATTTTCGATTTCAATTTGTTTCATATGATATGTTCACAACAAACTTATTACCTAGTTGGTCTATATGCGTTTTTCCTCTTACATGTTCGAGGGCACATGTGCTTATGATGAAATTATGAAATTGTTTACGCAATACGCTTTTTTATTGTTGTTTTTATCGCGATTCGCGAAAACCTTGTAAGCTTTTTGTTGTGTTAAAAACAGGACGTTTCCGAAATATTTCTTCAACCTTGAAATGTATTAATTCCTACTTTCAGATTTCGATAGCAAGATTTTTTTATAACTATTTGAAACGATAACTATTTGGGCTCAACAGGTAGACGGATTCTTTTAGATTTTGCGAATTTTAAAATATAGCATCTTTAATTTCTCTCTTATAATGCACTGCCATTAAATAA